TTATATTATCTATTATTTCATGAAATTAATTGTTATTACCTGCGGTTCAATAAGATTAGCCTTTGTTTTTCCTTTTTGATAGATAGTTTCTACTTCTGCATCACTATTATCTGATATAACCATTATTTCTGGACTAACTCTACTTATAAATCTGAAAAATTATAAGACCCTTCCTCAGAAGAATAATTTTCGTTGTCCTCTGCTAAAAAGTAACTTGGGTCTAATTCGTCCTCTGAACTTTCTGGCAAGAAATAATGTAGATCTAATTCATTTTCAAGCAAATCTTTATTTTTAAAAGATTCACTTTCTTCATTTTCAAAAGATTCACTTTCTTCATTTTCAAAAGAATTATTATGATCATCACGATTGTCATTTTCTAAAATATCGACAATATTAGTATCACTATGAGACAATTGTCCAAAGACTACATTGTAAGGTGTGGTCTTATGCACAGAGCAATATTGATTATTCATTGCCCCTTAATAAATCGATAATAAGAAAAAAATTAATATACTATTTGAATTTTAATATTATTAAATCATATAAGTGGCGCAAAGCTAAACATGCAAATCCTTTAAGATTGCATGTTCAGCTTTGCACCATTCACATACTATTTACTAATACTTACTTATTACAAATTTTAGTCCAACACTCCAGTTATTATTGCGGGTATCCTCCATCCAAGCACTCAGTTTGTTATGAAACATTCTTATTGTTATATTAATTGCCGAGTTTATAATATTCTGGTTGTAAGTATATTTTGGCTTTCTCCAGCTGGTACATAGAAGTTCGAACTGATTTTTATCGAATTTTATAGGATCAATAAGTTAAAGCCTTCATATTTGTATACTGATCCTCATGAGCCAATTGTGCATGGAACTTTTGGAGTCGACCAATCTAATTGGAATATAATAGTACGACTAAAAGATTTTTTTGCTGAAATAATGGCTGGAAGTCGCGGACACCCAGATTATGATGGGTTCGTGCCATATTAAAGATAAATAGAAACTCATGTGAATTTATTATCGATTAAATGGAACTTTTAGAGAGTCAGTCATCTGAATTTGGGATGCAATAATAATAATGATTTTTGCGGAACTTAAAATACTTATCTCGTACTTCTAGCAAGATCGTGATTATTTTTTTTATAAATTACGAGTTTTATTAAAATGTTTTTTTTTTTAAAAAAAGTTATATATTTATATAAGAGTAAAAAGCCAGTTAGGAAGTGGTTGTTAAATAGTCAAAAAAAAAGACATTGCCTGAATTCATTAATCCGAGGATGCCCGTATTCGATTAATGGTAGGTATTTACTTTCGGCAATCTCTAGCTTTTTATAAATTTCATCAAGTTGTTTACATATATTATTTTTGAAAGAGAAGGTATTGCTATCATTGTCGCGTTGAATTTGTCTCGTGTTTTGATTAAGCCTTATTCCTCGTACTGTTGTGATATGGATGTCTCGTAAGTGATTTACTAGCTTTTCATACTTTACGAACGAATAGAGACATCCGGAACTAGGACATTTGAACCGATGACCTGGAGTTTTTACAACACCATAAACGTTTTTATATCTTCTAGGAGGAGACATTTTTCAAGACAAAAATTTCCGAATTCTCAAAAAACAAATCGTATCTATTTAAATAAGGGTACTGTTTAGTACTATATATACAATATGTACAGTAGTTTAATTTAACGTCACAATTTTGTACACAATGAAGAATATAAATTTATTTAATTATTATTATATACACTAATATTTTAAGTGTGAAAAGTTCAATTTTGATAAGAACAGGATTTTTTAGTTTTAGCTATATATGTGTGAATAGAGATACGATAATCTACAGGTTATTTTAAATAATCTGTGAATTATTTATATTATCTATTTAATTGAAAAAGATTTTTGAACATATATTGTGCTTTTAAAGTTATGCTCGTTATTTATATGGTTTGGTGCTCTTAACAGTGAGTGGTTCATAATTTAATTTAATAATAGATAGTTCGCGATTTTAGTGGAGTAAGTTAATAATTTTATGTACATATGGGAGCTCTTCGGTAGAAAAGGCATAAAATAAAAAAATTTTATTAAATTTAGATTACTATTGACGAGCTCCCATATTTACTGTAGATAAGAAACTTGTTTTTAACAAGTTACAATAAAAATGGAAATTTTTTGATTAAATCTATTGCATATTTTAAACTTGCACGTCCAAACTGTATATATACCATATAATTAATATATCGATAATAAATCGGGTATTGCAATAAATGCATTTATTTCCAGTTATCGGTATTTTTCTGTTATAATATTCTATATGTAT